TATGGGGAAATGTGGGGTTTCATAAAAGACCAGCAGTTTCGCCAGAGAACCTACAGACCACAAGATGGTGAAAAGAGCTCTCCTAGCTAGTGTGCTACCTCCGTGCCATCATAAATGACTAATATACCCATTACTGTTTTAGCACTATCCGGCAGTAAGGCAGACATAGTTAAGTGCTTATCGGCGCCTTTGAAGTGGCGCTTTTGAGCTAGCCGGCTATGATCATTCGCTATTAACTGCCTGTTGTACTTATGTTCCCTTTGTTTCCGGGAAGTCAAGAGGTCGCTTATGATTCGAAGGACTATTCCGATCAATAAATCGCGGTTGATTGCTGAATTACCTTGAAAAATAACTACTCTAAAAGTAATTCAGATGAGATGCTGACGATTCTGTTGTTGGCTTGCGCAGCATGGGACTTCACTTACGCTTTTAACACATTTGGTAAGTCCTTTCTTTTCCGTTTGGCGAGTAAGGTAACCTACCATGTTACCCTGGGTAAATAAAATTGTTATGGCTTGTAGGACCACCAAAACTACTCGTGCAGCCTCCCGAAGAGGTATGGTATCAACTCGACGAGAACCTCAGTCCACATGCTCGACCGACTCTGAAATGTCAAGCGTCCGATAATACAGAATCGTGAGTGATACAGTAACCCGTAGTGTGGCTACAGTATACAGTTGAGGGCTTTTGTTCAGATTTGTTTGGTATAAAAACGGTGAACAGCTGGAGATTGGCGGCGATATCGAATGGGTTCGTGCCGGACAATCGGGTACCATTCAGTTTTTGAAGCCTAAACGATCACACGAAGGCTATTATCAATGTTTCGTATCGAATATCTTCGGCACAGCTGTCTCTAACAAAGTTCATTTACGACTTGGAGGTTTGTTTTTCTCTTCGAAATTTTTCATTTTAATTGTTTAATTGGATTTTATGATAGTGAATTAGCTACCCCTTGGTATGCTGGCGCTTGCATGCTTGGGGGGGGCCACTCGGCCGCGCCACTGTATCCCCTCTTGAAAAATGCTCAGGCTCACATGCCCAGAGTCGCAAGAGATAGTATGTGAGTAGGCATAGTCCTCACTGAGCCGAAGCCTTGATTAGAAGAGATATTGTAGCGCTGGCCAGTGGTCTTCCTCAAACTACGTTAGCGACCAAATGCTTTCGGAATGCGCCGTGCAGTGAAGTGCTGTTCGAAATCCTCTACGCGCTTGAATGTGCGCCGTGAACTTGCGCGAATATTTCGAATTAACATCATAAATCATGCCGCCCTTTTATTCGGGTTTCGCGCACTGCTGGCGCGACGTTAGGACAAGATCTGAAATAGCCGAACTTGCGGCTGAATTGTCGCCCAACGACGCCTTTAGCCTTTGCTCTCCTTTGAATTGCTTTGAGTTTAATTTTCTGGAAAGTTAGTCGTGTTACATCAGGGAATGGGCCTACAGGGCTGGACCATACCACTACCTTCTACTTCAAGGCACTTTTCGCGCTGAGAGAATGGGTTGAGCCACTTCGGGCAAGTGCGCTTTTCTCAATGATGCGCTTCCATTATGATAGGGCAAAGCAGAAGAGTGCATCGGCAGTGTACCCCACCCATACGACCGTGTGAAGTATGCGTTTACCCGGAGCACCCCACATCTTTCAGCCAAGGGTTTTCGGAGTTTGTTTGTAGGAGGGCTTCGCTCTGCCTGGCATGATGCTTGCCAATGCTTGGCAACGCTCTTGTTTGGGACATCTAACGATGAGGGGATAACTATGATTTTGGAACTCTAGCTAAAGGTCTTGAGAATCCACGTATTGCCATTCTCCACCTGGACCACTTTCTGACGTGATGGATCGCACCACTGGGACACATTTTTTTTCTGATAAAAAGTGGACGATGGTCGGCTACCCGAGAACTCAAAGAAAAACTCGTTGATATCTCGATAACGGTAATAACAAATGGGGTTCAGTATTCATCCCATTAGCTGTAGCTAGCAGGCATTCCCGCGAACTTCGCAGTATGGTGTCCAACTTCTCCTAGCTCTTCAACTTTTGGAAGGAAGAATCTTTCGCAACGCAATCTCTCCATTTTGCGCGTAGCGTCATCCACGCTACCTTCTGACACAGCTAACCTCATGGGGAGCTCCGCCTCACATTGCCACGCCCCCTTTTCATCGCAAAAAAATCATGCAATTGTTAGGTGTACGTAAATCATGTTCGCGATGAAAAGATCCGCAGTATGGGTTGAGATCTCTCATGCTATTCAGGGTTTTGGGAGGGCAGTAGATTGGCGCCATGGGTTCTAACTGTAATAGCTCTGACCTGGCTGCATCGTCCCAGCTCGCTATAAACGCCTCGCAGTTTGAGCGCCTGCACGATTTGGAACCCTGTGCGAGTGCATGGAGCTTCCAGCGTGGCTCTGAACTTTACTACAATCGCGTTTTTCACCGATAATTACGCTTTGGATGGGAAAGTAAGCCCAGAAACAAGAGAAGAAGGGACATCTATACCCTATAATTTGAAAAGTGTTCTCACCTATCCAGCTGTTAGAGGGGCTAAAATGGCCCATATGTCATTTGGTCGTAAACTGGTGGTTCTTCCTCAATAACCATCAGGGAGGTCGGCGCGCTTTTTCCCGGCTGGTTTATGGGGGCCGGTACGTACTTCGAAAGTGAACCCTATTCTGTTTTCAAAAAACGACCTGTTGACAGGACACGCAGAGGGACTGGATGGTTCGAATGGCCTTTGTGGATCCGTAGTGGGTTGATGGCGCTCCTAACCTCTGCGCTAGCCCTGTCTCTGCTCTATCGAGCTGGACAACCGAGAGAACAGAAAAGCGGAATCCCCTTCCCACCCCGAAAACGGCTTCCGGGCCAGGTTAGGCCCAGATTCCTTCCCTGTCAAAAGTTGTGTACTTGTAAAGAAGTGTCAAGACACGTCACAAATGTGTTATGTGACGTCACGTACTTCATTTATCCTCTGGACACCCACCTGTGCTACATTATCGCCCCGCTTTTCATGAATATTAGCGAGCAATTCGTTCAGTGCACGTTGAAATCTGTTTATGGTGGCTCAGTAAGGCGCAGTAAAATGCCTGAGAGCCTATTGCCTACTCAATTCCCGACGCGCCAGACCTTTATTTAATTACATTCGAACACAGCACATTTCCTTTCGGCGAATTCTTGGCCTCGCGACCGAATTGACTTTTCGACGCCCTCGCCAGAGAAAATTGGACCTTCCTCAATGTTGACCGGCTTAAGGCGATCCGAGAGGGTCGGAAGGGCTCAGCAGATGAGCACGCGGGTTATGGGATCAAGACTCCTCAAATGGAGCAGCTGGAAGCTGCTAGATAGGTAAAGGTTGCCCAATTTGTTAAGTTGTAGTTTAGCTGCCTGGGCTAGGTGATTCGACTGGTAGGTGTGGGTTTCAGAAGACTGATTGATGACTCCGGTACATCACACCATTCCACGAACGAGGAGGAAGATCGCGTCTTCCCCAGGCCCTCTGAGTTAAGCCCAGGCCCAAAGTGTTCCTGGTGCGGGAGAGGACCAACGATGCCTTCAA